ATCTGGGTCTGTCCTGTGAGCCTTCCCCCTCTGCCCCTGGGGTCTGGGCTGGCGCTCCTCTTCCAACTCCCCTCAGAGGAGCTATTTTATTTCTAAGGAGGCAGGACCCAAGGATTCAAAGACAAAGGTACCTTTGCTGGGACCATCACTTCAGGACCATGTCTCTGCCTCTGACCCGAGGAGCTCACCTCCTTCTGAGGCCTCAGACTGGGTCTTCTGTAGTCTAACTAAGGAAGCCCATGGCAGATCAGCTGGTGTCAAGCTGCTGAGCTGTGGGCTCAGTTATGAACCCTGACCCTGGAAAGGCAATGACCACACAGGCGATGCAATTAGCAACCTCCATGATGGAGCGAAGTTGAGGAAAACCCCAAAGTTTTCCTTGCCACCATAAGGCACAGTGCCTCACTGTAGTTTTAAGAATTGACATTCAGTAAGAGCTGAATTACCGCCCGATAAGGTCTGGGCTCTGGAACGAAACTGACCGCCTGCTCTGCCGCTTTTATTCGTTTCGTAAGAGGTCAGGGCCTACTGTGTGCCTGTTCTACTGTTCTACGGGTTCTACTGTTCTACGTGAACAAAACTTCAGAGTTCCGCCATCTTGCGGAGCCATACTCTTAGCAGGGGAGATACAGACAGTGAGCCAGCAAAGTGATAAATGTAGGGTGCGTTTGTTGGAAAGGCATAAACGTTATGCCGAAAAAACGAAAAAAGAAAAAGGATCCCTCCACTTTACTGTGTGACTTTGGTTAGGTTTCCCATCCTTTCTATTCTTTCTTTCTCCGTAAAACAAAGAGCATCGTAGTACCTACTCACAGGGCTATTGTGAACAGACTACTGTGAAACACAGGGGTGCCCGGCATTTACTAGGCACTGAGGAAACGGTCGCTGAATGAATCAAGCAATGAACCAATCACTCGCTGACTCCCGTAGCCCCCCCCTCCCCTCACCACCGCGGCCCTGTCACTCAACCCCCAGGGGCGCGACCTCATTGCCCAAGGCCCCTCCGACCGCCCCATCCAGCCCATCACCAACTCCGCCCTTCCTTACTCCACCGCCAGGAACCCGAGGTCTCAGGGCAGATAACAACCGGAAGCGTCAACTCGCACCGCCCTCGGGGTCAGCAGGGTACTTCCGCTCGCCGTCGTCCCGGGAGCCCGAGCGCTGTGCACGCGCAGGAGCGGGCTTTGGGGGCGGGGACAACACAGCCAATGGGCAACACGGCGCCTTTCGGGGACAAAGGATTCTGACGTGGTTCCCTCTGAGGTTAGATGGAGCGACGAGAGCGTGCGAGCATTTTCCGCGACGAGTCGTACGAGAGGCTGGGGAGGCGTGTCGGGCGGCGGGAGGCGAGCGGGCTCCGCGCGGACTGTCGTGGCGATCCGAGTCCGCCGCCTCCGAGGCCGAGGCCCGCTCTCCCAGTCCGTTCTCCCGCGCGGCCGGGCCTCCTTGTTGCTGTGCTCCCTGGGGAGTTCCCGCCCCTCCATGTTCCAAAGCCACGCTCTCCTCTTTCTTTAGATCCTCAGAAAAAGAAACCGGTAGTCGTGCCTGCTGCCTCCACGGCGGCACATGGGCGCGGCCATCTTGGGCGCGGGGTGGAACCGTCGGAGCCGGGCCCTGGTCTCAGGCCAGGGGTCGGGGAGCAGGGTTCAAGCTCAGTCGGGGAAGCAGCATGCAGGAGGGGCTGGGAGTTGTGCTGCAGGGCAGGCAGCATGCACAAATGAGGAGGAAACCATGATGCCTGATTCTCCTGAAATCAATCGAGGAACTCCGGTTTCTGGGACCTTGGGGATCCTTGGAGAATCTGGGCTTTGCCGGTTGGAAAGCACAGCATAAAGTGGGGGGAGAGCTGTTTCTCTGACGATGCCAGCCAGTGGCAACATGGCCTGCTAAAAGTCCTGTAGTGCCCTTGAGGAAAGTTTTCTGTTCCCTGTCGGGGTCTGGGGAAAGAGACCAAGGGTGTGCCGTGTGCTTGTGGTACCTGCCTGGTCACCAAGCAGAACTCCTTGGGCTGGGCAAGACAGGGTCTGGGCTCAGTACACCCAATTCCTTCTGTGCTACAGCCAACAGGTGCCAGGCACTGTTGAGAGAAGCAAGTGACAAAAGCAGTCATGGAAGCCAACATACATTTATTTACTCTTCCATCTGAACATACTGCTTTCTTCCTGTCTTCCCCTTTCGCCTCTGAGGAGGTGGTGGCATGTGTGATATTCCCAGGTTGGTTGGATGAATCATTGCCCAGATCTACAACCTGGAGGTCTCCTGGGAAGTGACTCTGTCCCAGTCTTGTGTAGAAGTCCCGGGAGAAGAGTCTGTTTTCTGTCAGGCACGTGACTGGGGACTTGCCCCCCCCCCACTGTGATTCTTTGTACCTTAAATGTTGGCCAGGTTTAGGGATGGTAACCTATTTATTTCCAGAAGAGAGGTGACCTGATAAGTTTTTCTGACACCACTGTCAGGAGGCAGGAGAAAGTTAATAGAATTAGTATGACAGTGTCCTGAGGACAGTAGAGAAACCCCCAGCTGCAGAAAGACCTGGTCATTGGCCCTGGTCAGACGCTCCCCATATCCTGACTCTGCAGGAATGAATGCTTTCTCAAAGAGAAGGGGCTGGCGAAGGGCGTGCAGTTGTTGCTCATGCCGTGCCAGCATTTCCTAGTGTGACTTGGGCATCCAGGAACCAAGAAACATGCCAAGGTGTTCTTCCAGCCCACACTCCGCCCAGCTGTTGGGATCTACCGATCCGTAGAAGAGAAGGCTTGGCTCCACCACTTACCGGCCCTTTGGGCCTCTTGTATGTCATAGCTAAAGACCGCACATCCCAACGGGCTGTCAGGATTGTTTAAAGGAATATCTCTAGCGCCCCCAGCCCAGAATGTGTCCTAAGGCAGGCACCTGGTAAGTGGTGGTATTACCAAAGCAAGCTTGGGTCCACTCACCCACACCCCATAAAACGTATGTACTGACACCAGGTCGTGGTGAAGGAAAGTACAGCGTGTACTGCAGGGCACCAAGCAAGGAGTCCAGGCAACTAGTGCTCAAAAGGCCTGAACTCCCCGGTGGCTTTCAGGGAAGGGTTTTTAAAGACAGAGTGAGGCAGGAGGTTGTGGGATGTGTGATCAGCTGATGGCCATTCTTCTGATTGGTTGCTGGTGAGGTAATCGGGGAGTCAACCTCATCAACCTTCTGCTTCCAACCAGTCTGGGGTCTAAGTGCTTGTGGTCAGCATGCAGTTAAGGTCTTCCGCCTGATGGGGATTTCAGTATCTGCAAAACAGCTCACAGGATATGGCTCCGGATATTATCTATAGCCCTTGGGGAGGAACTAAAGGTCCTTGACTTTGTTTAATGGCTAAACTATTATTTTGTCTTGCTTGACTGTTTTCCTTTGTTTCTGCATTTTCTCACTTCTCTGATTAAATTATTCTTTGAAACTTGGGGAAGACCAAAGAGGCCAGAGTTTTTCTACAGATGAGAAGCAGGTGGAGGACATGGGAGGGGTCTGTCCCCGGAAGGCCTCTAGGGTCCTGCTTGGTTACCGTGGCAGTTTCTGCTGTCCTCTCCCCAACACTAGGGAGCATGCTGGTGCCAGTGCTGCTCCTTCCTGCACTGTGTGCTTCCCTCCCCTTCGCCACCAACCTTGCCCAGGGTCACCACTGAAAACGTCTTTTTGTTGTTTTTTTTTTTTGCCCAGGGCCCAGGAGTGAACCCGGGCCCTTGGCGGTGAGAGCACAGAGTCCTAACCACTGGACCGCCAGGAATTCCCTGAAAACATGTTTTTAAATGGCAATTAGGCCTCTAAGTTAAAATTCATTGTAAAGTGTAACCTCAGCAGGCCCAGGTTACTCAAGCCCTTACGTTCCCAAGAAAAGCCTGTCTCAGGAAGACTGGTCCTTGTCCCACTCCTGGGAGAGCACCACAAAGAGCCTGGCGTGTTCTGCCTAGTAGGGTATTTCTGTAATCCAGGCACCTCTGTTCCATCTGACCAGGTGCTTCATGCTAATGGTGTGACGTATGGTGAGGGTCTGTTTTGTATGTCTGAGGCCCTCGGCTGTGCTGTATTAGTTTGACATCTGGGGGCTGTAGACCGAGTAGCTAAAGTGAGTGACGTGGAAGCTGCATGCCTGCATGACTGACCTCCAGTCAAATCTCTGGACCCCTAGGCATGGGTGAGCTTCCCTGACTGGCAACACTTTGCATGTGTTGTCACACATCATTTCTGGGAGAATTAAGCATTGTCCATGTGACTCCTTTGGGAGAGGACAACTGGATCTCACCACTGGTTTCCACTGGACTTCACCCCTGCACACCTTTTGCCTTTGCTGATTTTACTTTCACTGTCATAAATCCTAACTGTGTGTATGGGACTTCCCTGGTGGTCCAGTGGTTAAGACTCCATGCTCCCAATGCAGGGGGCCTGGGTTCGATCCCTGGTCAGGGAACTAGATCCCGCATGCCACAACTAAAGGGCCCGCGTGCCACAACTAAAGAGCCCGCATGCCGCAACTAAGACCTGGTGCAGCCAAATAAATAAATAAATAAATTTCTTTTAAAAATAATAATAATTCTGTATATAACAGCTCAGCTGGACTCACAGACTCTGAAAAGAACTAACAGCTTTTCTGAGTTCTGAGTCCTTCTAGGGAATCTTCAAGCCTGAGGGTGGTCCTGGGGAACCCGAACATACTGTTCCTGTAGATTCTGAGGTTGGTTTGTTTCAACCATCCCAGTGGGTGGACCTCATGAACACAGTGTGACTCCGCCCCCAGCAGTACACTTGCTTGGTGTTTGTGCGGAGGTTGCAGACCTGAGGAGCAGCAGCTGGAGGGCACTGCTGTGTTTTTCCCGCCTCCGAGGAGCAGAGGTCCTGAGTACTTGCAGTGGGCGACAGCTGAGGGAGCTTGCTGTCTTGCTGTGGTGCAGGGTTCTGCTGAGGGTCCCTGGTACATGCCTCTTCCTGGAAGTTTTCCCTGCAGTGACTGAGGTGACAGGTCCATCAAGCAATGTCTTGATGACGTTCTGCTCTTTGAACTGGGTGAGTTCCTGTAGGAAAGGGAAGGCCAGTTGCAAGTGTTCATCTCCTGCTGCACTGCATCGCTGTGTGTGCCACTGCCTCTGCAGATTTCCCACAGGCAGGAGAGTGTGCAGAGTGAATGGGGCTGGAATAGACAAAATGGGAATCCACCCCAGGGAACTGGTTGATGGCTCCAGTATGTTGGCATGAAGCCAATCACATGACTGTCAGGTGGCACGGAGGTTAGAGCTTCAGTCTTTGGATGACTGTGTCTGTTAGTTGAGAAGTGTGTGTACCACAATAAAACCCAAAGGAGGAAGACTTCAGCTAGCTGATGACGATTCTACTTTCAAGGTCTTTCTGTTATTGAAGGATGTTGTAATAAGCCAGAGTATAATAATATGTACTGTGGACTTAGACTATGCCAGGCACTGTGCTATGTTATTTATATTCATTTGTAATTTAAAATTATTAGTAGAATCCCTCACTATTATTATACCATACCTTCCAGATCGGGAGACTGAAGCATACAGATGTCAAGTGAGTTATCCAACGCTTCACAGGTAGTAAATGAAATAAAGAGTTAAGATTAGGCGGTTTGGCTCCAGAATGCATACCCTTGACTTCTATACCATTCAGTAGTCATGAGCACATCCTCATTTAAGAAAAGGATTTGGATGGTTACATGTCTTGGTAAATTTTGTGGAGTAAGTAAGTGGCAGAACTCAAACTAGAATTTAGGTGTCCTGACTCCAGATCCCATTCATTTTTCAAGGTGATTTGTCTTTTCCCCCCGTCCTCTGGAGCAGTACATCTTAGACTTGAATTTACATAGGGTTCCCCTAGGGATCTTGTTAAATTGCAACTTCTGATTCAGTAGTTCTGTTGGGGACGCTGAGTGTCTGCATTTCTCACAAGCTCCCAAGTGGTGCTAATATGCTAGTCCTCAGAACACACTTTGAGTCCAAATAAGGTTTTACGGACCCTCTGGTTTAGCAGCTATGACTTCTGCTTGGAACACACACACACACACACACACACACACATGCACACATGGAGACACAGTGATGAGGGAGTAGGATTGGGGTGCTTTCTGATCTCACTAGTGAGACCCCTCACTAATTCTCTTTTGGGGTTGAAGACTCTGAGGCCCGTGGAGGGAGAGGATGCTTCAGGGAGTTGTTAACAGGCTGAGACTGGGACCTATTCCACTTGACTTCCCAGCCAATGTGCCCCTCTCCTCCTTCCCTCCCTCTGTTGCACAGGAGCTTCTGGGGGAAGAGAATAGTAAAGGAATGGGCATTGTTCAATGATGGATTATTTAAGACTTTATAAGAACCACCAGGGTGATCTCCATTCCAGGCCTCCTTGTCTCCATGTTGTACTGAACACAGGTCTCAGCTGCCCAAGAGGACCCAGCTGTACTGAGCCCAGGTCAAAAGGTCAAAATATTGCGTTGGCCAAAAAGTTTGTTTGGGTTTTTCCATAAGATGTTACAGAAAAACCCGAACAAACTTTTCGGCCAACCCCAATAGCTCTCCTCATAGGTCTGCATACCCATGCAGGCACCACTCTGGGGAAAACGGACCCACAGAGGTCTCTCTGATGGTCAGACAGTATTTGTAAGCACACCCCTGTCTACAAACCCCAGGGACTACCAGTAACTAGATACATGCTACAACTCTTGTATTAGTCTGGGTAAGCCAAACTACTGGAGTAATTAGACGGAAAATATAATGGCTCAGACACAACCTTTCTTGCTCGCATAAGAATCAACCATGGGTAGTCCATATTGACCGGTGGTGTTCCTCCATATAGATCGAGGCTGTTGGCATCTCTGCCCTCTTCAACATGGCTTCCAGGGCACTCTAGTTGTCATCATTCCTGGAAGTGAGAAAGAGAATGGAGGAGCACAGGTCAGGAGCCACCACTAGCTTTCAGGATCACCATGGTACAGAAAGTCAGGAAGTTTTTTCTGAGACCCAGAGGTCAAAAAACTGCAGAAAACCATTGCTGACAGCACAGGTGTCCCATGGCCCCAGGGTGGTTGGGTGATTAGCATAGCAAGGAGTCTAGCAGGTACTGCAAAACTCACATCTGCTTGCAGCAGAAATTAATACAACATTGTAAATCAACTATACTTAAATAAAATTAAAACCAAACAAAACTCACATCTGCTGAAAAATACTTGCCTACTCTTCCTGCTAGAGGAAAAGTATGGTTTCTAACTCCCTTCTCCCTTCCAAATTTCATGCAGAGAGGTCACATTGGCAAGCAAGTCTGAGAAATGTAATCTCAATGCTTCCAGCCCCGGCAGTACAGGAGAGGGGATGGGAATGGGAATGTCGCAGAGTGCCAACAGACAATACCTGGCACATCTTTGAAAATCCCATTAAAATTGAAAGATTTGTCTCCCTTTTCCTCCTTCCAGACTGAAGTTGATCCCTGCCGATGTCTCCAGTGTCACTCTGCAAACTGAAGCATCAACTGCTGAGGCAAGCAACAGTGGTTTGTGTCATGGAATTGTCTTCTTCTCCTGGCCCTGGACCCTATGGATATCAAGTGAGCCCTAATTTGTGCTCCCCACTATCTTTGTACACACTTGTACATGTATGTTCTTATAGATGTGCAGGTACATACACACAGACCCACATCTCAGACAGCAGATCCTCAAGTGCAAAGTACTGGCCTCCAAAGCCCTGAGCAGCTTCACAGTGGAGAAGCCCAAAGCAGGTACATACACACAGACCCACATCTCAGACAGCAGATCCTCAAGTGCAAAGTACTGGCCTCCAAAGCCCTGAGCAGCTTCACAGTGGAGAAGCCCAAAGCATTCATAGGTGTTAGGGCCAAGGAGGCTTCAGAGAGTTGGGAGAAATTCCTAGATTCTGCCCAAATGCCCCTGACCTCAGAGGCCAAGGCTGTAGTCATGGGGGCATTCGGGTAAAGAGCATCCTCCTGGGTACTGAGCTTGGAGATGGATTCCAGGATTTATTTTATATGACACCTCAGAGCATTCCTTTCAATGGAAAGAACTTTCTCCCCTTCCTGAGGGACCAGTCTACTCAGTAAAGAGTCAGTGAACATGAGCAAATTATAATGAATGAAGACTCACATTTCCCAAGTTGTGTTCCTGTTGGAGGAATTCTTAAGTCACCGATTCTGACCTAGAGGAATCTTTTGCCAGAGAAAATAAAGCTAGAGAACCTAGATCAAGACTGGCAAACCTGTTGCCCTTATGCTGCCATTATATTCTACATACACGGCAGCTATCGTTTGTCAATAATGTGAATTGGGAGATTGGGATTGACATATATACACTAATATGTATAAAATAGATAACTAATAAGAATCTGCTCTATAAAAAAATAAAATTCAAAAAAAATAATGGTACTCTTTCTGGTCAAGGTCAGACAGGCTCTTAGAATTCTTCTCAACAGCATGTTCTAGTCTACCTCTACCAATCAGAGTTGGTAATTATGTTGAAACCTATTTGCTATGCCTGCCCTAGGTCAGCATTTCACAGAATGTCTTCCATGAAACACTGGTTCTCTAGCTTATTAACAATCATGATGTGAGTAAAAGGTTCTATGATCATAAAAACTTGGGAAACATTGTTTAGATGTGTTTTTTTTTTAATGGAGAGACTTCTACAACCACTAGGATACTATGTAGGTAGGATACTATATAGATCTCCCAGAAGGTCTGTAAAATACAGCATTTTCCAGGGGCTTCCCTGGTGATGCAGTGGTTGAGAGTCCGCCTGCCGATGCAGGGGACGTGGGTTCATGCCCCGGCCCGGGAAGATCCCACATGCCATGGAGCGGCTGGACCCGTGATCCATGGCCGCTGAGCCTGCGCGTCTGGAGCCTGTGCTCCGCAACGGGAGAGGCCACAGAAGGGAGAGGCCACAGCAGTGAGAGGCCCACGTACCAAAAAAAAAAAAAAGAAGGTGAAAAAAAAGGTAAAAAAAAAATACAGCATTTTCCAAATGTATTTCACCATAGAACTCTTTCCAAAGAGCGTGTTGGGAGACAAAAAGGATTATACGCGGAATAATAAGAGGCTTTCTCTGGGTGGCCTGACAGTGGGCTAGGCAGGACCAGTGGCTCCTCCTCCCCCAGATAGAGTGAGGGGCTGCTCATGATCTCAACTTCCCACAAGGTTGCTGGGCAGCTGTCATTTTCAGCATTCCCCTGAACATCTGGCACCTGAGCTCAAATACTTTTCCTCTGCTTACAATGGCACTTTCATGCTCATGCTGTGAAAAGGAAGATTGTCAGGGGTGGTCCTGGTCCAGCTGCACCCAACCCAAGCATGTCTCTCTACAGGATAACGAGAGAATGTGAGACTTGTGCTTTGTGCTGATCCATGTGTCTGTGACCCAGCCTGCCTCAATGATGCTTGCTGGTGATTGAGCCCTTTGCCTGACAGTGGTACCTAATGTGGAGTGAACATGGCAGAAAAGTTGAACTGTTTCACTTGAGGGGTGGGAAGCATCCTCTCTGGGGTTGAGGACAAATCACCAGTAGTGCTAATGATTGAATGGCCTCATTTTCTGTGGGCCACAAATGCCCCTGAACTGGCAGGCCATGTGAACTTATGGCCTTATGATTGTATGGCCACAATGTCTATAGGTCCCAGAAACACTGCTGAATGGGCAGTTCATTTGCTTCTTGGTGGCTAGTCACTGTGTAGTTAAAATGTCTAGGGGCCACAGATGCACACCTGAATGGGCAGATAATTTGGCTGTGTCACTATGAAAAATTGAGGCTGAGAGACAAGGCTGCCCGTTGTTAGATCTCTCATTTACTCTACTTTTGAGCTTTTTTTTTTTTTTTTTTGCTGTACACTGGGCTCTCACTGTTGTGGCCTGTCCCGTTGCGGAGCACAGGCTCCGGACACGCAGGCTCAGTGGCCATGGCTCACGGGCCCAGCCGCTCTGCGGCATGTGGGATCTTCCCAGACCAGGACACGAACCCGTGTCCCCTGCATCGGCAGGCAGACTGTCAATCACTGCGCCACCAGGGAAGCCTACTTTTGAGCTTTAAAGATGAAAAGAAAGGGACAAGAGAGGGCCCCTCAAATCCAGACACCACTGTGGCAGCTGATGCAGCCCAACCCCTCAGATTTTATCATCATTCAGTGTACCAGATAGAGGACTTTTGGAGAAAGTCAGGTGCGTGTAAAAATGTGACACTTCATGGAAATAGTAAGGCTTCCCCCAAGACTGGTACCATGAAGGGCTGAAGGAATCTGAGAGATTGGATAATTTGTCTAGATGAATCAATTAACTTTTTTTTTTTTAATTTTTGGCTGTGCCACATGGCATTCGGAATCTTAGTTCCCCGACCAGGGATCGAACCCATGTCCCCTACACTGGAAGCACGGAGTCCCAACCACTGCACCACCAGGGAAGTCCCTTGATTAACTTTTATCATTCCATTTCCCTTCTATTGCCCTGTTAGTTTTGCAGTCTTTAATTATTCTTTTTTCTTTTTTTTTTGCTGTACGCGGGCCTCTCACTGTTGTGGCCTCTCCCATTGTGGAGCACAGGCTCCGGACGCGCAGGCTCAGCGGCCATGGCTCACGGGCCCAGCCACTCTGCGGCATGTGGGATCTTCCCGGACCGGGGCACGAACCCATGTCCCCTGCATCGGCAGGCAGACTCTCAGCCACTGCACCACCAGGGAAACCCCCTAATTATTATTTTAGTGATTACCCTAGAGATTATGACATACATGCCTCAATTTATGTCTTCTGTAGATTAATACTTTCACTGCTTCTTCCACAATTCAATGATAGAAAATATTTTAGGTCAATCCCCTCTTATCATTTATACTATTGTTGACCTGAATTTTAATTCTACATATATTTTAAGTCTCTCTATGCATTATTATAATTGCTTAATACAGTCAGTGTTCATATAGTTTTATCTACATATTTACTCTTTATTCTTCATAACGCTTTCACTTTCTATTTTTTAAGCATCATTATTTCCTAACTTTAAGAAATCCCTTTAGTGTTTATTTTAGTGTAGGTCTGCTGGCAATTAATTATATCAGTTTTGGTTTTTCTGAAATTAACTTTATTTCATCTTCGTTTAAAGGATATTTTCCTTGAGAATAGAATCCTAAGTTAGCAGTTATTTTATTTCAGCACTTTAAAGATATCATTTCATTGTATTTGTTGAAAAGTCAGTTGCCGTTCTTACTGTTTCTCCTTTGAATGTAATGTGCCTTTTTTCTCTGGCTGCAATTAGATTTTCCTTTTTTCTCTTTTGTTTTCAGCAGTTTGACTGTGATGTGCCTAGTTATGATTTCCTTTGTATTCATTCTGTTTGAGATTAGTAGAGCTTTTTGAGTCAGTAGCTTGATATCATTTGTCAATTCTGGTATCTTTGCAATCTGGTATTCCTTCCAATTAAACATATATTGAACCTTTACACCATGTTCCATGTCTCTTACACTCTTCCCATTATTTTTCGTTCCTTTTTTTCATAATGCTCCAGCCTGAATAGCCTCTGCTAACTCATTTCCAGTTCACTAAACTTCTATTATGCTATATCTAACATCTACTTAGTGCTTAATTTAAGCTGTGTTTTTTAGTTCTAGAATCCCCATGTGATTCTTTCTAATGTCAATAATTTTGTCACCTAATTTCATTTTATTTTTATGTGGACCATTTTAAAAGTTTTTATTGTATTTGTTACAATATTGCTTCTGTTTTATGTTTTGGTTGTTTTGGCTGCGAGGCATGTGGGATCTTAGCTCCCTAACCAGGGATCAAACCTGTACCCCCTGCTTTGGAAGGTGAAGTCTTAACCACTGGACCGCTGGAGAAGTCCCTGTCACCTAATTTCTTGAACATAGTAATCATAGTTTTTTTTTTAAAGTTGTGTCTGATAACTCAAATATTTGGATCACTATTGGGTTTATTTATATCACCTGTTTTATCTTGGTTTCCTTCATCTGATTCATGGCATGCCTGTGATATTTTTTTGTTGTTGAATGCCAGAAATTGTATATGAAGTGTTTTAAAAAATTTTTCTGGATAATGTTTCATCCTCTAGAAATAATTTACTTTTCTTCTGGGGGCCAGATACAGTAGAAGCAGATAACCTTGGTCCATCAAGGATTAAGATGAGGGCTTCCCTGGTGGCACAGTGGTTAAGAATCTGCCTGCCAATGCAGGGGACACGGGTTCGAGCCCTGGTCCAGGAAGATCCCACATGCTGTGGAGCGATTAAGCCCGTGTGCCACAACTACTGAGCCTACACTCTAGACCCCGCGAGCCACAACTACTGAGCCCACATGCCACAACTACTGATGCCCATGCTCCTAGAGCCCGTGCTTCAGCAACAAGTGAAGCCACCGCAATGAGGAGCCCACGCACCTCAACAAAGAGTAGCCCCTGCTCGCCGCAACTAGAGAAAGCCCGTGCGAAGCAATGAAGAACCAACGCAGCCAAAAATAAATTAAATAAATAAATAAATAAATTTTAGAAAAGGATTAAGATGATCTGAGAATCTATTTCATCTTCATGAGGGCTGATGTATAACT